GAACTCACAAACCGCCAGATAGATCATGACCTGAGCCAAAGTCAGATGCTTAACCAACTGAGCCACCCAGGTGCCCCTCCTGTAAGAACATTAGAAAAACTCAAGAATAGTGGCCACATGAACCTGGTCTTTTGTTACTTTTCTTTTTGGAAGCCAGGATCCTATTTTTTACTATTTGATAACTCAAATATACATGAAATGGGAAAAAAGGGAGAGACTGAATCCCTTCATGATTAGTTAGGGAACCTTAACATAGATAAAGAATCAATCCTATGCACAATTTCATATATGCTCACTTCTAGAAGTTTCTCTCTAACTCGCAGCAAAACAAATGTCCTTAAAATTCCTCTTTTCTCTGCAGAACAGTTTTGTCAATTGGGACGTCTTAATAATTGGGAGAGACCTGTAAGAGAGGTTTGGTTTTATTTTAAATAACTATATCAGCTTTACTGTTTTCCATTGATAGGGTGTTCTGAAGAATAAAATGAGGGCTTGAAAATACTTCTGGTGGTGGATACATAGCAATATTTTCATGCATAATTAGCAGAAAAACTTTTCTACTGTAAGGTTGTAAGGTTTTATTTAGGTGGTAAAATATGATTAGGATTTAAAATCAACCTGTGCTTCATGTCACTACTGTCAGGCTTTCTGTGGTTTTTTTCTATGATGTCACTTTAGTGGGTGTGTCGTGTCTTTGGGTGGGGGGGGGGGGCAGGTAGAAAAAGAGAAGGAAAGAGAGTGTTCCGAGAGGCAAGTTGTTTTCTTGACAATAAAATGTCAGTTGGTCTAGTCATGGTCTGATGCTAATTAGTTTGGGTTTTTTTTATTGTGAGTAATTTGAATTTCCTTGCGGTCTCACCTTTACCTGTGAAGAAATTAAGAAGGCTTTGTGTTTGTGTGGGTTCGTTTTGTTTGGATATTAACATTCCTGCATTTGTTTGTGAGTTCTGTCTTCTCTCCATTCAATTCGACTAATATTCACCATAAGGTGTCAAAAACATTCTCGTAATGGATGATTCAGCCTATGTCCTTTATTGGTGGCAGCAAAATTGGTCACTCTCAAATGAATGCTGAGCTGAGCTACAGCTTCGCTGTAACAGTTACTTCTTTTCACAGTTATTTTGCCATTGTGTCAGACCTATAGTTCAGCTGTTGTACTATCTGGTAGTTTCCATTCACTTTTAACAAAGATAGGTGAATCATACTAGAAGCATGTGGAACTGATAAATAAACTGTCATGGCGTAATATCAAAACATGACACACCAGACTATACAGTAAGAGTGTTCTGCTCTCAGTTGAGGTTACTTAGCTGCACGTTTTTGCTCTCTTAACAGATTGCTCACACCTTGAGGCGAAACCTGCGCAGAGCCATAGCACTCGCTTGACAGAATATTCCAGGAGCAGGTCACAAAGAATTGGGAGGCAGAGATCTAGCGAGGACTCTAGCTTCCATGTTCTTTTCACACCCCAGATCGTGCATCTCTAAAACAAGGGGGTTGAGTCAGCCCGGATGTTTAATTACTTTTAACTTCTGATTATTGTAAAATACAAGGGCAGGAACCAGAGATATCCCAAAACCCCATCACAATGCCTACCACATTATAGTGTCCATATGTATCAGTTGAATTGAATTGATTTTTTTGGGGGGGTGGGATGAAAACCTTAGGTGAAATACTGGTGTATATATAAGATGACTAAAAGCAAAACTACTTTTGGGGGAGAGGGGTACAGCAGGTCAAGCCACACAGAACACCCTTTATCTCAATCTTCACTTCTCCTGCCAGGAGGGGCACTATGGGAATCGCAGGGCTTTAGGGAACACAATTTAAAAATCAAAGGATTTAATAAGCATATGATTTTCTCTGGCTCCAACATTCTTTGATTCCTCTGGTAACTTGGAGTCATCACACAGGGAGTAATATGAAAGGTCTTAAAGATGTCACATTATGCCACAGGGTGGGTGGTGGGTTGAGGTAGAGAACCGCAAAGCCATTTTACATTTCTGAAATAATGTGCTGCATTTTGATTTTTATTATCTTTCTCCACAGTTTTTTTCTCTTACTGGAAATCAGTGTGGGATGTGTTTGAACAGAGAACATTTCTCTCAGCTGCTTTCTGTAACAAACTGTTGGGTTGTCTACTTGTAACTGCATAATCACAAAATTTTATAAATTGACTTAACTTACTGAATAAGCCAGCTATTTTGATACCATAGTTGCTTTTGAAGTTCACTGAAATTATCTGATAACCCCGAGCCTAAGAAATGTGGCTTTTTGACCTATTAATGGTCAACTATTTTGCCAACATTTAGTGAATAGCCTGCTTATTTAGCTGGTCGGGGAATAAAAATTGGTTAATTTCACTTTAGGCAAGAAATAAGAGTAGGGTTAATCAGAGATGTCAAATCTTTGAGATGAATTTCAGAGTGATTTATGTCATCCCATTACCCCAACTTTCCTTTCCCCTTCATTCCCATTCCTGTGTTAAAGGCTAAGGAAGGTCAATGAATAATGCATTCAATTAGTTGCAAATAAAAGGTATTGATCTTATGTGAGGGTGGTCTCCCAAACCAAGACTCTTAAAACTCATCCCTGTTTTTCTGCGTTGGGGGTGCATGATTCACTTGCACTGACTGTGTTTTCTGTTAAAGAGAGATGAAGGTGAGCTGCCAAAGCAGATTGAATTCTTGAATCCTCTGGCGATGAGGACACATAGCCAACTCCAGGCACCAATGTCTAGATCAGCCTTCCTGTTTTCACCCAAACTGGCATGTCCTCCTGGCAAGGAAGGAATAAAGCCCTCGAAGTGAAAACATTTTAGTTCAGCAACCCTTAACTGATCATTTCTGTACTTGTTACAGAGTGGAAGTTGCAGCGACAGGTTTCAAGGGACCTGGGAGATTCGATAAGAGAGGGTAGGGAGGGAGGCTTAATGAAGGAGAACTGCCTGTTTGTCTAAATTCCAGACAGTCTAGTTTAGCGAGGAATGAAGTCTGCAATGGGAAAACCTATCTTCAAGATGCTTAATAGTACACTCTTAGATCCATAGGCTGATAATTGATAAATCAATGAGAGTGCACAGCAGAAATGTGTGGAAGCTGAAAAATCAAAGAGAGTATATCATGCAAATTAGCAACAAATACTACAAAATGTAATGGATAATAGTAATAAGGGGTTTTGAGTAAGTGGAAGGTACCATTTCAAATATTATCTTGGTGAATGTTTATGTGCATGTTTGAGTGTGCAGCTTGTACTTGTACTAATTGAATGCCACATTGCTATCCCATTTAGAGACTGTGTGTGTAAGAAATACTTAATCTAATTTGTAAGTTATGGGTATGAGGCAGTGTGATCCAGGGTATGGAAACTTGGAATGGGATTAAGAAGAATAAGACATTATGCCCCCCAAATCATTGAAATGCACAATACAGATATCATGTGTAGCTTTAATTAACACAGGGAAAACATGGGGTACCCTTTAAAACAGAAAACAAGGTGCAAGTTGAAAAAATTTGATGAAGCACAGTCATATGTTCTTAAGGACTGGCCAATCCTGATTCGGACTTCAACAGTCATGTGACTGTCAATCTGGAAATGTTATATTTGACTTGTGTACAATCTAATAGCTTTTCAGCTCGCCTGAAGGTACTATCTGCAATATGTAAGTCATTACCTGGTAGAATGCTTTGACACACTACTGTGAGAATGAAAAATATTTGGGAAAATAAATTGTGTTCTATCATTCAGTTCATGCAGCATAACTATAAGTCTGTATCGTTATTATTGTTTTTCAGCCCCTCTGACTGATAAGCCACCCAAGCTTTTGTATCCTGTGGAAAGTAAACTGACAATTCAGGAGACTCAGCTGGGTGAGTAATTCCTTAATTCCAGTTAATACACTTCTCTCAATACAGTCTGATAGTTAATAAGCCTAGATTGTACCCTGATGTAATACTCTAAGCTAAACTTATGTGTACTTAAAGGGAGCAAAATTAGAAAATACCAGCAAACGTGGCCCATTCCATCCCCCACAGTGTATGCATTAGGACCAAGTTGGACATATGGATATAAGAACTCATATGTTTTTTAGGTGGTTGTTAGGAAATGAGATGGGCTGAAGGTTTTACTGGTGGCATTATGTTGTTGTTTTATAAGGCTTGAATTGGTTTTACAATGGGCACTATGGAACTCTTTGACTTACAATATACCATTAAAACATTAAAATACAATTTTTGAAAATGGGGAGAAAAGGTACAGGTTCATTAAGATAAATGTGACTATCACAGTTAAAAATCATTTTTATCTAATCAAATGGAAAGGACATTATGCTACTTAAGTTATGGATAATATTTAATAAAATGTGAGCAAGTGGCTTTTGGGTAAAGGACCAACAGGTTTAAGACATAAGAACATGGACAAAATGCTTTGGTAAATATCCAGTTATCAACACATCGGAATCTGACATAATTATTTTAGGGTTCAGTCTAGAATTTCTAGTGGTTTATCTATGTTCAGTATAATTTTAACCATATATTTATGTTTTTTAAGGAACTTTTTCCTACACTAACCACTTGACAGTAGAAATGCTTTACTGTATACAACTAAAAAGGAATCGATAGCCCATCCCTTAAGTTATTAATGTTATTATTGTTTTTGGAGTGAGAATTTAGATTAAAGTTGTGAATCATCTTTAAGATTACTGATGAATCTTTGCGAATAGCATATTCAAAGCTACAGTGCAAAAAAAGGTGTGATGGTTTTAGAACCTATAAAATTATTATAGTCAACAGATTTCTAACATTGGATATATTTAGTAACTTAAGGCATGAGCATGTATAGGATTTATACAAGTCACGGTATCAATATGCTTTTTTGATGGTAAACCCAAGCCCTTGAATTGATGCCATATACATGCAAGTAGTACTCTAATTGTCATTAAGCATCATTAAGGCAATGTTTATGAAACAAACATATATTAAAATTGCATCATGCTCTTTACTCATGTTATGGTATATTGAAGTATATTAGATTTTAGTGCCACTTTCTGAGGAAATTTTGAAATGTAGATTCTCCTGAGTGGCCACACTCATACAGACCTTTCAGTAACTCCAAGGAGTATGTATTTGTCAGGAGTTATATGAAACGTTCTTGGGAAAGAAGAAACAGTTTATGGTACCAGTTACCAAGTAGGAACATAGTGAAATTGAAATTAATTGTGGCTCTTTCCTTGACAACATGATTAAAAGAATTGTATGATTGATGGTTGCCAGTTGGGTTTCCCTATATTATCTAGTGTTCTCTCCGTTCTACTAATGTGTTCTACACAATGGAATCATTTGTAAAACTTTCTTTGTTAAAAAATACTTTTTATTGAACAAAAATTATAAAGACTAATCAAATAGTTGTGAAAGTATGAAAATTTCTTATGCAAATTGCAAGTTTCCACTGTATATTCATTTGAAGAAAGATGGGCATGTGTGTTAGCAAAATGCTCTGAGAAGTACCCTAACTCCTTTATTACCACCGCCAAAGGAACATGAGTTCTCTTTAAAAACCAAGTAACTAGAGACATCAACTTGGGATTTGAATTCTTTTAACCAACTTTTATTTCATCGTACTTTCTGATTCCAGTTCTCAGTGTGTAGGATAAATTATTTACTAGTTAGAGAAATTTAACCAGAGTCCTTGAATTTTGGGACCAACAGTAGATTTGAAAAAACTACCTTTGCGAATAGCATATTCAAAAGTGTTGTTACTGCAATAGTATTGGAGTAGGTGAACAGCTGATCACAAAGGGTAAGTGAAAATAGGAAGTAATCTTAAGGACCAAAAAAAAACAAAAACAAAAAACAAAAAAAAAACTCCAGGTGTCTAAAATATATTCATTTTCTACAATATGTACTTAGATTTTTCACCTCCTGGGGATTGAATTTTTGCCTTTCTAGATTTGAAAAAGCTGTCAATTTCAATAGGGCCAAATGTGTTATATCCTAAGAAAGGGGGACTGAATGAAGTTTCATGGGGCAGGAGTAAGGAGGATGGCCGGGTCCAGTGATGGAGATCTTGGTGGTGCCTACTCTTAGGAGAAGGTGAGAATCTCCAAGAGTTTCACTGGCCAGGAGCTCAGGGGTCTGACTCAACCTTGTCCTAAATTGAGGCTTGACCTCAGAGGATAATAAAACTACCATATGGACTACATTATAAGAACAATCATCAGTGACTACACAAAGCTGAGTTGGTATATGTCTGGTGACCTAACTTGAACGTCCTGGCAAACTTATACACACATCCATCTGACCTTGATAACTATAAACCCATCAGTTCTCCAGTTTGTCTGTAAATATATAAAACTTAATAATAATAATGTTATAGATTAAATCATAAAATGCATGGATTTGTTTTCATCACCAGGTTCTCCTTCCTCTGCCATTTGTGGGCTGTGCCCACCTTTCACTTTCTGTGTCCCTTGTGGCTTCCTATTCCTCCCAATTCCTTCATCTTCTCAAAAACTGGAAAGATTATGATAGCGATCATTTAAACCATTCCAGTGTAGAAAGGAAAAGGCACAAAGAAGCAAAGAACAAATATATATAATATAAATATATAATAGTAACTCAATTCATATAAAATATGTAAATTGGTGGGTTTGAATTTTAATCACTTTTAATGTGGTTACAGCCTAGCATTTCCACTCTAAGTGGCATCAGTGTGTTACTTCACAATGTGAGAAAAGAACTTTGTCCTTTTTGAATAACTTTCAGACATCAGCAAACGTCTGGACAGCACTTTCTTGGGTAAAATCCCAGAAATCATGCTGTACAATTCTGAAGGTGTCTAGGAGGTGACCTTCACTTGATCCTTTCAAGGCACGGTAATCAAGGGAATCAAAAGACAGATGCCGTAATCTTGCTAAGGTTGAGCCTTGAGGATGTCAGTCAAAGATGTGGCCTTCTCGTTATGGCCAGGAACCCATTTTCAGAACCTCCCAGGACAGAGGATGTTCATCATTACCAGACTTTCAAACTTTCACTTTATTTAAAGTTTGTTTTTTGCTTATAAAATCATTATACAGGTTACTGGTAGAAATTTTGAGAAATACAGGAAAAAAATCTTGTTTCTTTACGTTGTAATAACATTCTGCTGCTTTTTCTTATTCCAGGTTTTATTTAAATTGACGTTAGTTGACATATAGTGTAGTATTGATTTCAGGAGTAGAATTTAGTGATTCACCACCTACGTATAATACCCAGTGCTCATCCCAACAAATGCCCTCCTTAATTAATGCCCATCACCCATTTAGCCCTTCCCCCCACCCCTCGCCTCTAGCAACCCGTAGTTTGTTCTCTATAATTAAGTCTCTTATGGTTGTATTAAATATTAAATTAAATATTCTATTAAAAAATACTAAACAGAAAATATTTTTAATGGCCACATGATATCCATGTGAAGGTCCTATAATTTTATATGTATTGCTGGAAATTTGGATTTTTCCAAATTTCATCATCCTAAATAATGATGTGGTGATCTTCACCTATACATTTTCCCTTAACTTTATAATTATTTCAACAGGTCACATTCCTAAAAAGAAAAATACTTGTAAAAGTAACTAATTTTATTAAAGTTTCTTGCTATATTTTCAGAATTCTTACCAAAGAAGTTGTATACACTCTCACCAGAAGTATATAATGGCTATAATACATTTTAAAATGTTTTCAATTCAACTTGTTTAAACTAAAAAAAAAAAAAAGGCTCACCCACTTCTCCCACTGTCTAGCCCCCCGCCTCTTGCAACTACCAGTCTGTTCTCTGAATCTTTGAACTTGTTTTTTGTTTCATTTTGGGTTTTGTTTTTTCTTTTTTTTAGATTCCAAATGTAAGAGAGATCATACTTTTTCTCTGACTTATTTCACTTAGCTTAGTACCTTCACAGTCCATCCAGGCTGTCACAAATTGCAAGATTTCAATCT